TTAACTATTTTACTTTTCAGTTTCATAGTATTTATATATAATTTTTTTAGCCAATCAAAATTGATTATCAGGTGGGGGGTGGGAGTCAGCCTTATAATAAAGTGAAATCAGCTGATTTCTGACACACCCCTAATATTGAGCCGCTTCCAATTGCAAAATAAATTAGCTATCCAATCATTTGATTTATAAGACAGATATAGCTATAGAATTAACAGAGAGATATGCAGCTATTCTTTTTGTTAGAGTTGTTAACATACAATCTTGTGAACTTTCCAAGTAAATTGCGATCATTAAGAGAGAAATGAAGCGCTTCACTATAAGCAGCAAGAAGGCAATGATAAAAATCCATGAGGTTGTAAAAGTAGTTAAAGTGGAACACAAATGATGGTATACTACGTGGTAGATGTAATTTATTTTCATGAACGCTCTGTAAGATGTATTAAGAGCATCACATTATGCCAGTATGAGTGTAGTTAATTAAGCACAATATTCTATTCGTGATGTAGATCATATTACTGATTTTAATTAAAAAATTCTCATGTTCTTTTTATATACATTTTAATTGTAAATCTGATATAAATATGCTTACTTTTCCTTTATTTTCATTCTTTAATGCAGATTTGTGTTTTCTTAAATACAGATGCTATTTTTGAAAACTATTTATGTGTAGCTTTTAACACAAAGTATATTATACAATTTTTATTTTTAGGATTTCCATTTTTTTTGAAAGGGTTTTATATAATATTCCATTTATGTATTTCTTTAAGCTAGTTTTCTTTTCTATTTATTTATACTCTTAAAATTAACTTTTATATGATTGCTTCTGATGTTAAGTCATTAAATATCAAGTTGCTCTTGATATGACACTTAATAGTTATCTGTTTTTTTCTGATAATAATGAGTTTTTCTATATTATTAAATCTGAGTTAGATAAAATTATGTTAATTTTCATAATATTATGTATATTTTTACAATTTTATAATTCTATAATATATTTATTATATGTAATATTATCAAAAATTATGGAATATTACTCTATAAGAAATGTTTTTGTATCTAAAAAGTTTTCTAATATATTGAATATTAAATTTTTTTTTTTTTTAAAAAATCAAGTAATAGTTTCAGGATCATAAAATAATTACTTTTTAAAGATCATTTGTTTTTCTTAAAGCTTCTAATAAGTCGAGTCGAGACGAGTTTTAAAGATAACTCTACTCAACTCAAAAAATTTGAGTTGAGTTGAGTCAAAAAATTTTTAAACTCTAACTCGACTCGACTCGAGTTATACTTAAATTTAACTCGACTCAACTTTAGTCAAATAAAAACTCCCAAAATATATTTGCTGATTATATAAATAATAAAATAATAAAATTATATTAATGTTTCAGAGGCTATTATCTAATGATCTACCAATCAGAATTTTATGAAATCTGCACCATCGTATTCGTCGAGATGCGCTCATCAAAACGATATGTATTGCATTTCTAATGGATTACTAAACGCAGAGATATTCAAGAAAATGTGTTGAAAAATTGATTTTTAGTTTTGAAGGCCATTATCTCAAGATCTACTGATCCGAATTTCGTGAAATCTGCAATATCGTGTTCGCCAAGATGCGCTCATCAAAATTATATGTGTTGCATTTCTAATAGATCACTTTTTTTTTATGATGACTTAGATGGGATGCCCGACATGTTGCTCCTTAATCTCACGAGAGAGGTCAGGTGTTCTCAAAAGAGTACGTAGCAGTCCTGACACTCTTAACCTTTGATCTATTATTTCAGGTTCCCCAGGCACTGAGCACATCCCCTAGGTAGTGCTGTCTAAGGTATGACATAAGTTACATAACCCTCTATGCGAGTATAGGTATCTTAGCAATCCTAGTACTGTTAAATTTGGATAGAGGGTACATCACAGTCATAGTGAACGTCATCACTATTCTTATCACCCAATTATTTGGTTTAACTTTGATACGAAGCGACCTTATGCAGCTTATGCCCTGAGAGCTACCATATCTGTATAAACCACTTTCAACCAGATGATTTTGATATCCAGAATGTCAAACAACTCAGAAATTGAACCTGACCTCTAACTCTAGTAACAGCTCGATTTGGGCCAATACTGTGACATGCAATGCAGTCTAATTATTACTGGTTTGTTACCCAATCTACTAATGTTTGGTTAATTACTTTCTTATTTTATACATGTAATCACTTCGACAGCGATCACGTATAGAAATATAGGGCACCTGCTGTGGTAGATGTAAGCTGTATCTATTACAGGCCAATCAGCGAAAGCCAAGTTTCTGTCAATCCTAGGCTTCATTTGCATCTACTTGTTCTAACTCGTGCAGTATTTAGGCATGATCAATGTTAATCAACAGATCAATTAACCAAATTTGTATGCATATTAGTTTATACGCCCATCATTTCAGTTACAAAGAAATTCCTTATGGAAAATCATGCAGTTTTATGTATCAGCTGATACTTGAACTGATGGCCTATCGCTATGTAATGAAACTTTAGCTTATAGGAGACTTGCGGTTTAACCACTGAGCCAGGAATACCACATCCTTTTCTAACGAATCACTTGACGCTAAGATATTCAAGAAAATGTGTTAAAAATATTCAATTAAAGCTTCGTAACCGATAAATTTTCGAATTCCAGGATTGACCAAATTGAGTTACACAAGATTCCAAATATATGTATATGGTTACGCAAATCCTAAAAGGAAATTTTTTGCTATCGAAAAATTAAATCACCGAAAATGAGTTATACATTTGACTCATGAGTCAACTCAACTCATTAGGAGCTCTAGTTTTTCTTGCCTTTTAATCAATTGTAAATAGGAATAATAAAATAAAATATATTTATTTGGATTTTTTTAAAACAAATTAACAAATTTATATTTAGGATTATCTTTAAAAAAAACAATTTTTTTTAATTTTTTTTAAACATTTATAATTTTTATTATTATGATTATTTTCACTTTTTTATATATTTTATGATATATAACTTTATAAAAAAAATAAATATAGAATTTTATTTATCAAAAAAATATATTTATTTACAAAATATTCATTTGTTTTATCAAAATATAATATTATATATATAATATTTTGTATAGCTTCTATTGTTACAAAAATTATATAATTCTGTTAACTTTATATAAGGATTTTGAATTTTTATTTAAAATTAAAGTATGCTTTTTTAGAAGTGACTTTAGATGATCTGTTAAATTTTGAAATTTTTTACTTTATTAACTATTACAATAAAAAGGTTTTTGGGTTATTTATTAACTTTTATATTAATTAGTTAATCAATTTATTGAATTAGCAACTTTATTTACTATTATTTCAAATCTTTCTAGCTAAATAGGATTATGTAATAGAATCCTTTTTGTAAGAAAAGACTCTTTTAGATTACTGAACCATTAGATTTGGCTTTATAAATTCAGAGTTTTTCACTTTTTATTGTAAAAATCCTTACATAAACAAAATCGTAATTTTGATAAATTATAAATTCTGCCATATCAAAAAAGAAATAACATCTAATTATATTTCATTTCACTCTCATCAAAACCAATGGTAGGAAATTTTTTTGAAAAATCTACTACTTCTTCATTTAACTCTTTAATATGTGGCTCGTTAGAACCATCACCTAGATACGCTTTAAAGTCCAGAAGCTTGGTTCCTAGAAACACAAAATTTAGGTATTTACAATTTTTGAATTATAAATATATGTACATTTAAGACCCTACCTGTTACTTTCTCTTTTATATTGATAGCTAGTTTAACGCAACGGTCAATATATTCTGCAACCTTTTCAAAATCAGATTCAGTAAGACCGCGTGTTGTCATAGCCGGTGTACCGACTCGTATTCCTCCCGGTACAAAAGCACTCTTATCACCAGGTACGGTATTCTTATTAGCAGCGATATTTGCCAATTCGAGAACACGTTCCACACGCGCACCATCGATATTCTAAAATGAATTAATTAAACTTGCGTTAGTGATTAAAGAGAACATAAAAATATCTAGATAATTTTCTCAAATAGTATACGCTCACCTTTGACCTTAAATCCACTAGCAACAAATGTGTATCCGTACCACCCGAAACTAAATTGTATCCCATTTTCTTGAAAGCTTCGGCAAATGCGAGACAGTTGATTAACACTTGCTGTTGATATTCTTTAAAAAGTGGAGATTTGGCTTGTTTAAGCGCTACAGCAAGTGCGGTGATAGTGTGATTATGTGGCCCACCCTGATGACCAGGAAATACAGATTGATTGATCGGATTTTCAAGTTCATATAAGATTTCTTTTTGATTGAATCATTATATATGGTAAGGTTTTACTTAAACAAATAAAAAAAAATGCATTAAAAATGCATGAAATTCTGAAAGATAATCAAATTGTATTCAAATAATCACCTTTTCCTTTCTTATCAACTTTGCGCACACCCTTCCTATAAAATATTAATGCACCGCGTGGACCTCTAAGGGATTTATGTGTTGTGGTTGTAACAATATCGGCAAATTCGAATGGTGAAGGAAGAACACCAGCAGAAATTAAGCCTATAGAACGAATGAATTAGGCATTTTAATATTAAAAGATCAACAAAGTTATAACAAAATATGATAAAAACAAACCACTGATATGAGCTATATCTGCCATCAAATACGAGTTTACTTTTTCTGCGATCTTTTTCATTCGTGCATAATCATATTTTCTTGGATATGCGCTAGCGCCAGCTATAATAACTTTTGGTCGGTATAACAACGCTGAAGCCTCGAGAGCATCGTAATCTATTATACCTGTCTTTTCATTTAATCGATATGGTAAGGTCTCGAAATAGGATGAAACTGCTGAAATTTTCTTAGTATCTGTTTGATATCCATGTGATAGACTTTAATTAAAACAATAAAAAAACATTTTTGTCAAAAATATATTAATGTTCAACAACAACTATAATTAATTCATAATATTTACTGTCCACCATGTGGCAAATCCAATCCCATCAACCGTTCATGAGGTCTTAAAATAGCATTGTACACATATAAATTAGCCGGTGCTCCTACGTAATAATAATCGTTCTTTTAGATATAAATTTGACTAAACCTAATATGGGTAATATGAGAAATACCTGATAAAGATTGAACGTTCACTCCCCATTCACAATCCTTCAAATTAAAAGCTTCTAAAGCTCGTTTTTGACACAAAATCTCTGCCTGATCAATGAATTCATTTCCACCATAATATCTATGAAGGATAAATAGTAAATCAATAAACGTAATGTTTAAATTGTAAATATTATATATATTAAATATTATTGATTTTGAATTTCATTCACACCTTGCACCTGGATACCCTTCCGAATACTTGTTCTGCATAACAGAACCTAAAGCTTCCATAACGGCACGTGACGTAAAATTCTTAGAAATTTAATTTCATCGGATATATTAATATATATTTATATAAAATGCAAAAGATCAAATAACAAAGGAAATTAAATATTTTAGAAAACTCAATCCACCTCTGATGGAATAAGCACTATACTCTCGCGTTGTCGCTTTTTTTCCTTTTCTATAATATCGAAAACTTCTGGGTCAGTTTCCGTTAAGTGTTTATTCAAATACTGTAATAATAAAAATATAACTTTTTATTATACAAGCGAAGAATTTTCAAATATATGTGTATAGTTATTCTTTCTTACCTCCTTTTGAGCTACACTAGAGGCATAAGATTTCTAAAGTTTACAAAAACAAAAAAATTAATTTAAGTATTATAGTATGTAAGAGAACATAGTACATACAGATATAAGACTTGACAATCCATGGTTGAAACTTAGCGAACGTTTAATGATAGAACGTTGTAATGAAATTTTCAACATTGAGTGTATAATTTGCACTTTCGTTGAGTTAAAAGAACACCAAAAAGAACTTGGGTACAATTTCGCCCGATAGAAACCGACGATAAAAAACGTAAAATCGATAAGAGAAATGAATTTGATGCATTGGCTTTAGTCACTAATTTTATATGTTGAAGGATATTTGATTTAAAATAAGATTTCGGAGAGATTATCATGAGATCTGATGCTAAGAAAAAATTTTTTTTTTAATTAAGAAGGTAATTATGATAAAACTATCATTTTATTTTAATATATATTTAGTACAATTTATTGTTTGTTACAAAATAATGATATTGATTTTTGTTTCACCAAGCTAAATATAAATTTTTTTATTGATTTTTAATTTTTAATTTTATTCTTTTTTTTATTTTTTTTTTTTTTTGACAAAATTCTTCGCGAGTGTTCTTTATTGCTTCAAAGTACCGATGATCTACAAACAAACAAACAATTAAATTAAAAATTCAACACATAAGCAACAAATTTAAGTTATAGTTGGATATTTACCACATATGGAGCATATTTTTGTACAACCCCTTTATCGTGTAACATGTTGAACTTTGAAGCAAAATAAAAAATTAGATTTGTTTGATTCATTAATATTTCCGAGAAAAAGAGAAAAAATAAACTTTGCCACTTACTTCCTCACTTGCATCCTTTCCAGCAAATAGTAAAATTGATTTCTTACCACCTGGATGATCTATATGATAAATGTAAGGTTATTTTACTTTGTTACAAATGAAGCTGCAAGAAAAAAAAAAAAAAAAAAAGAAAACGAACCTGGAAGGAATTTTGTAACGTTGAGGACCTGATCATTAACCACGACTTTACGTGTATTTGTAATAGGGAATTAGTTCCAAGTTTATATTTACATCAAAAAAAAATATATTATAAAAGGAAAAATACTTTACCCCAACAATCTTCTTCGGAATTATGTTTAGCTACATCATCAAGATTATATTCTTTTAATTCAACTGGAGGAGCAGCTTCCTTTTTTTCACTTGAAGGAGCGGGGGTTGAAGGAACTTGAGTGGTAGCAGCACTAACGCCTTGCTGTTGACCCCAAGAAATTTCCAATCGAACTTTTTGATTTGTAGGATCAACATTAACAGTTGCTTGATAAGGGGCCAATTGACCAGCAATTTGTCCGAGACGACGATTCGCAGTTTCGCTGGACAAATTTTGGAGCAAATAACGTGATGCCGAATCACCAGCAACTCGTCCAAATACAACACATCCCAATAAAGATGATCCACCAAGACGACTATATATTTTAAGTGTGAGTAATTTATTTTTGATATCAAAAAGATTATCGAAAATGGTATTTACTTTGCTCCATGAACACCTCCAGCGATTTCACCAGAAGCGTAAAGCCCTGGGATAACTTTTCCTTGTACATCTTTGACTTCAGAATCAGGAGAAACTTCGACGCCTCCCTATGAAAAATAATAATAATAATAAATTATTGTAATTAAAGATTTGGTTTAAAATCACAAACATAGTAAAGCGAGTGACTTACCATAGTGTAATGCAAGACTGGAGCCATTAAAGAAACATGGAAATTATCACTAACTGTCAAGGGAGCATTTTGAAAGAATTTCTTTCCATAAGGATCCTTCTTTTTACCAGTAGCGATATCATTATAATCATCAAAAGTTTCTCTTAATCGTGATACGGGAATACCGATTTCTCTTGCTAAATCCTCACCAGAGTTGAATTTTCTCATTAAACCACGTCCAACGTAATGTTTACAATGCCATTCAATATCTTTCGAGGCTTTGCTATTAAGTACAAGTCGGACCGGACCTTTTGTTTTCCAAATTTCACCAGTGACGTAATCACGATGACCTAATTCATCACAGAATCTTTTTCCTTCACCGTTCAATAATAAACCACCAACGCCACGTAGTGCTTCAGCGGCTAAGAATTTGATCTTGGAATCGGGGTCTTTGGGATCAACGAGACCAGTTGGATGTACTTGAACTTTTTCAAGATCAATAGCTTGACCACCAATGGAAAGAACCATTTTATGTCCATCACCAGTACAATGATCTCCATTTGTGGTAGGTAAATCATATATGTCTGGTCGATATTTTTTAAGCAATGAATTTTCCGTGAAATCTGCTGCATAACCGCCGGTCGCCAAAACCACTGGACCATACTCTTTAAATGATTGGCCATCTTTCTCGTATTCGACACCAATAACTTCTTCACCTTCTTTAATCAATTTTGTTACACGAGCTTTCTTTAAGATTCGTGCACGATTTGGTTGCTTTTCGGCAATCTCTTCGAGAAGTTCCATCAAAGCATACGTAATTGTCATTCCGGGAAACATTTCTTTCCCACGATGTGTACGAGGTTGAGTATGTCCACCTAAACGAGAAACGAGAGAAAGATCCAATTTGAATTTATCTTGAAGCCATTCAACAGCAGATGCCGAATTTCCCGTGAGAACTTTAATAATGTCAGGACGAGCAAGTTCACGAGCTGAACGTGTTGTATCTTCCTCGAATAAAGCGGCAGAGTCTTGAATACCAAGGGCTATATGATATCATAATATATCGTAACATATTAGATTATAAAAAAATATATATAACGGGGCGGAGTTTAAAATGGCAGAGTTTTAACCGGATGGAATTTAAAAAATTGAAAAAAAATATAAATAATTAAATTCAAATTAAATTATAACGTGTTAATTTATTAAGAGTTTAATTTGTCGGACATTGTCGTTATACATATTATCTATTATCTAAAAACCGTTCTCTCTCTACATAAACAAATGATAACTTACTAACCTATTTGAGTTTTGGTCAAGGCGCCGTTGATACCTGAGGTAGCTTTGGTAGAGTTACCACCAAAGAAAGAATTCTTATCGAGAACAAGAACATTACCACCGTGTTCTAAAACGGTGTGAGCGGCAGAAAGTCCAGAAAGACCACCACCAACAACAATGATTTGAGCCATTATTGTAAATTATTTCAATAATCGTAATAATAAATTAGTATTTGTGATCTTTTTCTCCTGGTTCTTTAATTTCAACTACTTTCTTGAACTGGACTAGAAAGTAGTTCTTTAAAAAAAAAAATAAATTTGATTTATTTATATTTGGCGTGTGTTAGATGGTGATTGATGATTGATCACAAAATGCCGTTTGGGCTTATTAATTTAATTAGATTCGGTAAGTTCCATCCCATCGAATGTTAATTATCAGCCAATCAAAGTTAATTATAATGGACAAAAAAAATTTAATAGAGGGGTTCTCAACTTCCATTCCTTATGAAAGTTAAAAACTGGGTTTGCAGAGCTTCGCCTATTTAGGTCATGTGTTCACTTCTGTGTTTCTGTGTTCACCCAGTAAGTCGGGTTTCCTCTAATCATGAGTGAACTAAATTGATTGGTTGCAACATTCGATTATATATATATATATTACGAAGACCACGTGATTTTGAGTTAACACAAAATGGTAAAAAAAATGAGCGTTAACTTGGAGTTGAGAAGGCCCGAGTATAGATAATTTTTTATTTTATCCCCAAGTTTTTCTCACACTGGATAAACGTGTTTATATAGGAGGTCTTTCTAAAGACATAATTGAAAAGGACTTGGAAGTTCGCTTTAGCCTTTTTGGAGTCGTAACAAGCGTAGACATCATACGCCAGTCTACAGGTGAAATGAGAACTTTTACGCGATTACTTTGTGACGTGATTTAATATTTTTAATATATGAATTGGGTGTTAATTTCATAGGAGATTGTCGTGGTTTTGCCTATATAACGTTAAAGACGACCGATAATGACTGGAAAAAATGTATAGTTTCTTTTTTTTAAAAAAAAGGGGGGGGGGGGGAAACAAAAATTTACAATCACTTTAATATAAATATAAAGGCGTTTCTCTCTTCAATGGAGCTAAATGGAAAGGAATGACATTAAAGGTTCAGGATGCGAAACTTGATTATAAACAAAGGTAAACTGTGTGATCAATCATTTAAGTCACGTGATTTGATTGTAATTATTATAATTCTATCGTGTAAAAAGGTTAAAAGAAGAGTGGGCATTTCAAAAAGCTTTAGAAGAAAAGGCTAAAGTTACCCTGCCGCGTAAAAAACGTGGACGAAGTCGTTCTTTCGAATTAGCTGAAGATATGAGTCTGATAACTGATAGCGGTGTTGATATAAGAAAGGTTTTTTTTTTTTACTTATTTTATTAAGATGTATAATGTCATTATATAAATTTATTAAATTTATTTATTTTAGGGTTGGAAAAAATTAAAGTATGGTCGTGTAGCATCGGTTATGCGATTAAAAAAGGATGACAGAACAAGGGTATAGATTAATTAACTAAATCTTATGATAGAAATATATATTTTTTTAATTAGTTGACCTAATTAACTTTATAAAAGGTAACGATTGATCCGAGTCACTATAAAGACAACCTTTTGAAATTTTCTGATAAAGATATGGGTATTAAACCGAAATCACTGGTTCAACTACCGTATTTTTATGAGGAATATGAAACTATTGAAGACAAACAACAACCCTTTAGATATTTAAATAATGAAATGAAATTGGGCGAGAACAAAACTCAAGTAGATTCTTATGGAAAATTAGACAATGAATCAAAAAGTAATTTTGCTTCATTTTTTCCAAAAGTTGACATTACAATTACCAACCCAGCACCTATGGGTATCCAAGGTATCCAAACTCAGTTGCCGCCCTCAATTATTGATGATTTTAAAAAATTGAAATTGGAAAAAAAAAAGAATGAGAAGAATCTTTCGAAACCAGATAATTTATCGAAACAAGAACAATCTAATCTAATTCGTTTGGAAGCGCTGAGGCAACGTGCAGAAGAAAAGCGTGTTGAAAAAGAAAAGATAACGCAAGCGTTAAGGGCAGAGGCTGCATCAAATGTAATTGAACAAGTCTTGTTTATTTGATATCTATTTAGTCTTATAATTTACATTTTATCTTTGATAATTTTAGAACACTAAGCATATAGTATTTAGTGATGATGATGAACAGGCAAATGCAGAATCACATACAATGAACCTATTTGATTCAGATGAATCTGATAAAGATCCAGTAGGATCAACAAGTTAGTATTTATAAATGTCATCACAGTTATATTTATTTTACTAACACATTTATCAAAACGTTTTAATAATAGGTATAGAGATAAATCCAATTTTCGAGGGTTCTTTGGGACGTGAATATCTTAATTTACAAAGGAAGTTTCGTGGTGATAAAAGATTCAAATTGACAGAAGATTTTGTTAGTGATGATGATGATGATCAAAGGAATGTGAATAATAATTTATCTACTAGTGAAATTGACGATGAAACTGCCAAATCTTTAGAGGAGGAAAGGGGAAACCAATTTGATATTTTGAAAGAAATATTTGGAGACAATATGAAACCCGAAAAGTTGAAAAAGTATATCTAAATTTGTATCTATTTAAATTTATCGTACTATAAATTTACAATAGATTTACACATTAATAGAAAAGGAACCCAATGGAAAGAAATAGTTCATTTCGATCCTGACGTTTCAGAAGCGAAATCATTGGAAGTTCAAAGGCAAGAAATTAATGATTTACCAAGTAAGAAAGTACACTTAGCGTCACTCTATCGTTATTATTATTATTATAACTTAAAAATTTATTAGAACCATCATTAGAATACACTCCATCATTATCGAAACCTTTGCCCAAAGTATCAAAAGATGTAAAGATAGAAATTAATTCCGATTTGAAAGGAATATTCGCCCCTCGAACATCAAACGGTAATATATATATATTCCAAAGGTTTAAGTACTCATTATTTGTTGGTCTTTATATCTAGTTTGTTTTTTTTATAGTTGTACACTCTTTCTCGCTTTTTGATGATGACGGGAATAAGAGTGAAACTGATGATATGCAAATGCATGGACATGAATATATTAACGAGAACGGGGCAACTTTGGTACGTCATTTTTTTAGAAGCATAATTTTTTTTTTGTAACATCTTCTTTATAACGATAATAATATTGTATATTGGCAAAAAGTTTCCAACAATAACGGACAGAATATCTGATCAAAAAACGCAGAATTCTTCGGGGCCATTATTCTTTTTTCATTTTGGAGATAATGAATTATCAAAAAGGTTGGTTATTTGTTGACATGAACGGTTAATTTAAGTAAAACTTAAAATTGTAACTTCGAAAATTATCTTGTTAGATCACACTTTAGGGAAATGAAGATATTCATGCGGATGTCACCCGCGTAAGTTTTAATTCATTATTAAAAACGAAATTGTTTATTAGAATCCTAACTGATTTATTACTTTAGTGAAAAAATAATTTCTCACTGGCAAGAAACTTCACGTGATTTGACAAAAGAATATAAACGTAAACATAAATCAGTATCGCGTAAATTGAGCAAGATGAAGAGAAAATGAACCGTAATCGGACATTATTTTTTTTTTGACTAAAAACTGTTCATTAATGCTGATATGATACTTTAAGAATAAAAAAATTAAATGTCCTATTTTGACAATTATAATATCCAAGTAGGATGGTATAATTTTGTTTTTAATATGATAAAATGTGTCTAACCAGATTATTGGAAATGTCTTCATAAGGTATAAACTTAACCAAAAAAAAGATCGAGAGATTATCTCGGGATCTGAAACAATTAATTTCCTTAGAGGATTATAACATTGAAATTCGTCTCTGAAAAAAATAAATTCATCAATCAAAAAGAACGAGATCAATTCAAGAAAGATTATTGGATTGTATTTAGATATGTAGATCTGGGAGAAAAAAAAAAATCGGGGAATATTTTTACATACATATAGATTGTAGATGTGGGATCTTGATTTTGAAATATTATCTATTTGTTTATTTGTAATACATAGAATGGATCGATCTTGTAAATAAAGAAGGTAATATATATTATTTGAAATAGGATCTACGCTCCAATAATTGTTCCGAAAATGTGTAGTGTTCAAGAAACTTCGTTAGAGCTCAATGGTTTGTTTCAAGTAAAATTATAAATATATTTTTTAGCCGAGTTAACTTTATTTACAAAATTAGTTAAAACCAAGCCAGCTACAAAGGATTGTATTAAATGTAAAACAGCAAAAGCAACAGTGCTAATTCGGCATTCTACATATTGCAAGTAAATACAAAAAGAATACTTTTGGCATGTTTAGAACCTTCAATTTAATTTAATAGCAATAATATTTTTTTTTAAACAAAGTAAATGTTTCCAGCATGTATTTGTTGGTAAATTCCGAAAGAATGTGGAAAAATCTCGTATCCTTTCTAATTCTGCCAAACTTAATGGTTATGGAGAGAAAGTAATGATTGGATTTTCAGGCGGGCCGTCTTCAAGGTTCTTAAAATATTTTAATTGAATAATTCATTGAGGCTGTTAAAAAAACGCGTGTATTTATGAAATTGTATAGGACGATGTTACAATTAATAAACGAATATAATGAAGCTCGCCCACATGAAATTTCAAAAAAATGTGCATATACTGAAATTATTGTTTGTCATATTGATGAAAGTGTATTGTTTAATAACGGCAGCACACTTAGTACAAATAGTAAATGTTCTCAGGTATGATAAAATTCGCAAATTTGTTTTGTTAATTTCAAATAAAAATAACATACTTATATATCAGGAAAGCACAATATTACAAGTAGAAAAGATTGTACAAAAATATAATTATCCATTTATTGGATTATACTTACAAGACATATTTAATCCTGAAGTTACTAAAAGTGGATGTTATAGCAAGGTTCTTGAGTTAGCGGTTGATGACGCTAAAATGTTGCAATTAGAAGAAGATCCTGCTATTTCCTCCACTGAGAAATTATTAAACTTATTAAATAATATTTCAAAATTAACTGCCAAAGAAGATTTTGTATGGTATTTGAAATTATGCTATTTAATTTTTACTGCAAGAAAAAATGGGTTAGAATTTTTTTTTTTTTTTAAAACACATTAACGCATTTTTTTTAACTCGCGTCTTATATTGCGCCATGTATTGACAATTACGTTGTAGATGTAAACGGTTGCTTTTGGGAGATTGTTCATCGAGATTATCGATAAAAATAATTTCACAAACGAGCAAAGGACGTGGTTTTAGTTTACCTTTAGAAACTTCTGGTGAAATTGATTGGTTTGAAGGTAAGACAGTAATTTGATCTATTTTTTTTTTTATTTATATATATTTTTTTTATAATAATCCATTGTTGAATAACTTAATAGATGTAATAATTACAAGACCAATGAAAGATATGTTATCAAAGGAAATTGGAATATATAATCAATTAACTGGATTAGATAGTATATATGTTCCTAGTATTACAAGTATGATGCATCCTAAAGCCAGTATTGAGAGATTAACCGAAGGTAAAATTCATTTTATTATCGTAAAATTTTTCTCCTAAAATAAGTATTTCATTTTTTTTTTTACATTGTGTAGATTTTATTTTGAGATTAGACAAAGAATTTCCATCGACAGTTAGTACGATAGCAAGAACTGGAGCAAAACTTACACCATCAGATTCTATTGTGAAAGAAAATCGTTGTATAGTTTGTTTAATGTATGTAGTTCATATACTTACTTACCCTACATGCGAAATTTTTTCTATCTTTTTATATATCTGTGTTTATATTTTTTTTTGTAGGCCATATCAGGAAAATAATAAAATATGGCAAAAGAGGATTACAGTTATGATGGTTCCTTCATTGCAAAAATCCGAGGAATGCAATCGACAACAATCATCGTCAAATAAAGCTACAAGTTATTATGATAATTGTAAGTCCAGTAATGATGAATCTACGACAAATGTCGAATTCATGGATTTATTATGTTATGCGTGTCGTGTTAATCTTAATGTGATCAATCAGCGGATCATATTACCTCCTTATGTTGCTGAAGGAGTTGAAGATAAAAAGAGCAATAATAGAAAGCAAATGAAAAAGCAAATTGAGAATTATTTATTATGTGATGATGATGATTTATAAAAATGTTTTATTTCAAAATAAAAAGGTTAAGTGAACAAAAAAATGTTTGAATTTATTAATTAAATATATTAAATATAAAAGAAATCATTGATCAAAAAAAAAGAATTTAATATGTTTAATTTTCAGGTCTTGCTTCACCGTTGGTCATATAATAATGTTGTTGATTTTCAGAGCCTTTAATACCTATGGATTTTTTTGTCTTGCTAATTACCGAAGAAACATTATTGGCCAAGTCATGCCCATATTTATAAGCACGATCTTGACCTTGAGTCATAGCTTCGCCACTATGTTGTCGAATATCATTAGCCGCGATAGTTAATCGGGAAGTTGCTTGATTTGCAGTAGCAAGAAATGATCCCACATTCATAACCATATGTCCTACATAAACGCGAACTACGTTTTCATACCACCAATTAATCAATGGGACACTATTAATAAGTCCTTCAAGAGTCCAATTATCTTCTTGCTTATAAATATAATAAAATCCATCCTTTTCTTCACGGAATCTTAAAATTGTTACAGAGGGCACAGCAAAATGAAGGAACGGGAAAATTCGAGGGCACAAGTATTGTGTTACATTGATAACAGCAGTATTCTCGCTAAAACAAAAAAAAGAAAGAGGGTGAATATTGTATTAATTTAGAAAAAAATGTAAACAAATTGATAAATTACAACTTACTTGCAAACAAAATGTTCCGTATTTGTAACTTTGGGTGGTTTTTTATTGAGTAATGTCCAAACTTGAAAAACTTTACGAATGTTATGTCTTCCCTGGACGTTCAAAATGGGGTGAGTTAAAACTGCGTCTACTGTGAAAAATGATTCCAAGACGCTTTTATATTCCTCTTCATCATAAGAAAGAATACCCGGAATAATTTCTGAAAAATGAAATGTTTTCAATATTACGAATAATGATATATATGATCATAATTTCATTTTTTTTTTTACCAGTAATAATAGTATTATCTATATTGCCTGGTTCCATTGTTAATTCGTAGTAGTTTTTTTTTGTATTTATTGATTTATTCACATTCTTTTAATCTTATTTATACATTATTCTCATTAAAAAGGGGGATTTTATTTTTTTTTTCACATGTTTAATTTAAACTATTCACCCATTTAGTTGATGATTATGAATCTTTTATATACTGTATAAATTTCAGGGGTTCAATTAATATCTTTTATAAATTAGATAATACATTCAAAATTTTAAAATTAATTTATAAAGTTTAAAGTTTAAAACTTTTAAGGTTCTATTTGTTCTGTATATGAAATGTATAAACAATATGTAAAATATAAAAGAACTATCAGAGATGGCTTCTATTGATACTAATAAAAAAATTTATTTCTTATTCCAAATCAAGTAACATAAGGTAAAATAGTAGTTTGACAATTTAAAAGATTATAATACTTATTTATATAAATTTATTATATCTGCTTTTCATACTTTTTTATTTTTATAACATTAGTGCTTTTTTATTTCTAAAGAACTATCTATTTTGCAAAATTTTTATTATCTTATTTTAAGCCAGATATTAGTCTGCTTATCATTATATGTTCTTTTTAATATCTTATTATTAACCAGTTATGTATTGAATTTATTTCATCTATACTAGATCCTAAATCAAATCAATATAAGTTTTTTATACTCATAAAGAATGTAAATCTCTACATATTTAAATTAGAATTGAAAGTACAAACTTTTATAACTTTTTAAAAGTTAATTTTTATAATGTATATTACTAGTATTAAGAATGTTTGTCTAAACTTTAAAATTTTATGATTAGTTTCAGCAAAATTTAATATAGTTTTGTTATAATTTCTTTAATTTCAGCATTTATTATTAGGGGATTCTATATTGGTTGATCAACAAATTTAAGTGATACAATAATATAAATTTAATATATACAGATTTTTTCGCAAATCCTAATGGTATTTTATTATATATACTGATTTTGTACCATCACTAAAGATAGTAAATATAATTAAATTACATAAGTTGCAACTTTATAAAATTTATTAAAGTTGCAACTTAATTTAAATAATAAGTTAAATTGCAACTATTATAATAGTCACAATTTATTTTATTATTTAAATTATAATTAGTTGCAACTGGTTATAATTTATTATGTAAATTTTAAATAATTAGAACTTTAATTTAAAGTTGCAATTATAATTTAAATTGCAACTTTTATAATAATTGCAACCTAAATTTAAGTTGCAACTTAATTTGCTATATAAATTATAATTGGTTGCAACTAGTTGCAACTATTTATATAAGTTTTAGTTAATTACAACTTATTGTAGTATAATTATATTATTTATGATAGTTGCAACTTAATTATCATTATAATGATAATTCAAATTATAATTATAACTGATTATAACCAGTTCATAACTAATTATAATTTTATTTTTGATCATTTATTTTATTTTAATTTTTTAAAAATATTCTCACATTTTTTTATTTTTAATAAATTTTTGCTTTAATTATATTTATTTTTACCTTTTATTTTTTTAAAAAAAAATGAGTGAAGAAACTTTATCATTTCAAAATTTTAATGATACAAATGAAGTTATTATACTGAATTATCTAATAAAACTAATAAATTACAACTAGAGCTCTAAACAGATCAGGTCAGATCAGGTAATTAACTTAACCCAACCTGATAAGATCAGGTTGGATTAGACAAAAATTGACCTGAATTAAATATACATTTGACCTGACCTGACCTGTCTAAAAAAGAAAACTAAACAATTATTAATTTTGTTTAATATT